GATGCCCCTCAGGTGGACACCCCGCATGTGAGATTCCCCTCAGGTGGATGCCCCTCAGGTGGACACCCCTCATGTGAGATTCCCTTCAGGTGGATTCCCCTCAGGTGGATTCTCCTCAGGTGGACGCCCCTCAGGTGGACGCCCCTCAGGTGGATGCCCGTCATGTGAGATTCCCCTCAGGTGGACGCCCCTCAGGTGGACGCCCCTCATGTGAGATTCCCTTCAGGTGGATTCCCCTCAGGTGGACGCCCCTCAGGTGGACGCCCCTCAGGTGGATGCCCCTCATGTGAGATTCCCCTCAGGTAGATTCCCCTTGGGTGGATGCCCCTCAGGTGGACACCCCTCAGGTGGACGCTCCTCAGGTGGACGCCCCTCATGTGAGATTCCCCTCCGGTGGATTCCCCTCAGGTGGATTCCCCTCAGGTGGATGCCACTCAGGTGGACAGCCATCATGTGAGATTCCCCTTAGGTGGATGCCCCTCACGTGGGATTCCCCTTGGGTTTGTGCTCAGTCTCCAGAGTCCCCAGAGGTCCCTGCTGGGATGAGGCCCTGGTCACCTACCACAGTCACTTGCAGAATGATGCTGGTATTCGTTCCTCCCCCGCCTGCCTCACTTTCCAATCCCTTATTAGAGTTTCCTGCAATCACCAAGAAATGATTAGTTATGTCCGTTTTGTCCCTACCCCATCTCCCACTTAGCACCAAAGCTGGGCCGCAGTCAGCTGCCTCCACTCTGTTTTCCAGCTTCATGTTTGGGTTGCATCTCCCTTCCAGGCCACCAGTCGACCACCTCTGGTCAAACCATACCCACAGGTGAGCCGCCCTGCACACTGGGAAGACTGCAATCATCACCTACCATCTTATTCAGGTGGGCTTTTCCCAAGCAGACGCAGCCACTGTCTAACCAGTGTCTACACCGCCTCTGAACTCCACGGAGCTCCCACACTGTGTTTGACCTTCAGGAGATTTTTTTAAATGCTGGTTCATGTTCCCTGTCCCCAGGGAGTTGGAGAAACAAAAATGACTCACATCTCTGTAGGGTCAGCCAGAATGGACATCATGGTTTGGAGTCCACAGAAGCAAAGCCAAGTCGGAGATTCACGTGCATGTGGTTTATTGGAGGGTGCTCACCAGAAGAGAGGGAAAGGAGGAGGCAGGGACTTTGTACCCCACCCACCCACTTCTCCACCCACCCCTCCTGGCACTCAGAGGCCACAGGCAGTCAGAGAGGTAGAAATTGTAGCTCTGGGCCAGGCAGCTTCTGCTCCCAGAGGGGTCTAGGAGCAGGTGGCAGGAGTGAGGCCTAAGCCCCCACAGCACCTGGGAAGGACACACCCTTACACGAAAAGGGGATAGCAGGGTGTCAGAGCAGGGACTAAAAGGCATGTGCTGTAATGGCCTAAAGATTCAGACTGTGTCTTAGTCCGTTCAGACTGCTGTAACAAATACCTTGGCCTGGGTAATTTACAAACAATACGAATCTATTGCTCACAGTTCTGGAGACTGGGAAAGCCAAGATCAAAGAACGAGCAGATTCAGTGTTGGGTGAGAGCCTGTTCCTCATAAATGGTGCCTTCTAAGTGTCCTCACACGGTGGAAGAGGCCAGAGGCTCCTTGGAGCCTCTTTTATAAGGGCATTACTCGCATTCAGGGGGGAGGGGGAATCCTTATAACCTAATCACCTCCTAAAGTTCCACCTTCTGTACCATCACATTGAGTATTAGGTTCCAGCATATGAATTTGGGGGGTGCGGGTGTATCTGAGTCCAAACTCACTCTGCTCACCACATGGCAGCCAATAAGTCAAGAGCAAGGAGCTAGGGCAAAGAAAGTCACTTATTTCAGAAAGTCAGAAAAACCAAGAAGATGGTGACTAGTGTCCTAAAGCACCATCTTAAAAGGCGTGAATCCCAAGCTTCTTTTTACATTGAGGAATGGGGGAACAAGAAGGGGGTTGAGGTCAGGAGGTGACTTATGACCACAGACATGTTGGAAGCAATGAGGATCTGAGGAGGTTGTGAAATATCTTTGTCCTTGGTCAGGTTGCAATCCTCCCATAAATCCTTAACACAACATTGTTACTTGTATGTGCACCCTATTTATCTCCTTGGGGGTTAGTTTTATAAAGGAACTATTGTCATCCTTGCTTTAGTTTAACCAAATTCCTCTCATAGTTAGCTTAGCCCATGTGCAAGAATGAGCAAAGACAGCCGGTGAGGGTAGAAGCCAGACGGAGTCAGCTATGTTCCATTTCTCTCGCTGTTATGGGGGCACCAACACTCAGACCAGAGCACAAGCAAGGGTATGTCTAGAACTCCAGGGCCAGAGGTCCCAAAGGATCTAGAAGGTGTAGAAGGACCAAGACTCAAAGTCAACACATAATCCAGACAAGGAGAGCTTCTGGTTCAATCATGTTGGTTAACATAAAAACATTGTGTACGAAGTGTTACATAGAAATAGAAACACATCACATTTAGTGTAGAAATAGAAATACATCACATTTAGTTAGACAGCTGATGAACCCAATCCTACAGAAAAATGTAAAATGTTATAAAAGTCAGGCTGTTCCATGAAAGCCAGAGCATCAGGGACTACCTGTGCCAGTGAGAGGCTTCCCTAAGAAACCAGAGTGTTCACAAGAGGCAGACGGTGCTGGGGGGCCGGGGCTCAGGAACCAGAGTGTTCACAAGAGGCAGACGGTGCTGGGGGGCCGGGGCTCAGGAACCAGAGTGTTCACAAGAGGCAGACGGTTCTGGGGGGCCGGGGCTCAGGAACCAGAGTGTTCACAAGAGGCAGACGGTGCTGGGGGACTGGGGCTCAGGAACCAGAGTGTTCACAAGAGGCAGACGGTGCTGGGGGGCTGGGGCACAGGGGCATTTAACGCTTTTGCCTGCTGACCTTGGAAGCAGCCCTCACAGCCAAGGCCCTCCCTCCCTGCAGCTGCCTCACACCTGGGCCCTCCCTGGCAGGAGACTCTCGTCTCTGTAGGGTCAGCCAGTTTCTCCCATGTTTATACCACAGGAGAGCAAAGCAGAAATGTCTGCACATAATCTTAGGACAACCGTGGTGCTGCCAGCTGGAGTGCGGCGCCTGCCTCCCTGTAGGCTGAAGAGGGTTCAGGTTGTCAACTGAGAAGTCACACAAGTATAAGTTTGGAAAGAAGAGACTGTTTTTTATAAAGAGTTATGGCCTGAAGATGGTCATCCTGCAGGCTGGGAAGCACAGCCTCCGGCAAAGACCAGAGACAAGCAGGATTGGACAAGCAGGAGGAGCTTCATGTTGAAGAGGTTGGCTAAACATACATATTCAATGGCTGACAAGGGTAGCTATGAGTATTTATGAGAATGATCCTGATGCATGCATATTGGACAAATATGCATATAACAAATGGTCCATGTTCACTTTAGGGTAGAAACTTAACATTGAAATGTATTACAATTAGGGCCTATACATCAAAGGCCATACATTTTTCCAGGACACAGGGCACACCAGCACAGCCTCTGTAAACTGGCTAGGACCAGTCCATAGTCAGTGGCCTTTTGATCAGGAGAAAGTTACGAAAATCAATCTCCTGTCCAGTGAAAGCTGTAGTTATGGCTGGTGGAACAGGAGGTCAGCTAGGCAGTATTTGTGAGCTGGACCAGTTGTAACTGTTTGAATATCGCTTATCTCAAAGCCAGTGTTTATTTACTGCTAGAGAAAAAGAAAAACCCGTGGCAGTTAGGACACCATTTATTCTTTAAGTGGAAGGCACACGACTTGCCCCTCACCTGGAATGGCCTTAGGTCAGTCCAGTTTATGATTTAACATCTTACTGCCACACAGAGTCTGTTCTGTCAGTCTTATGATCTCTATTTTAACACAAATGCTGGTCAGTTGTGTCTAAACCACAAAAGGGAGGGGGAAAACGAGGCATGTCCGACCTCCTGCCCCATCATGGCTGGGAACTCAGCTTTTTAAGTTTTTTCTGGGGTCCCCTTGGCCATGAGGGGATCCATTCGGTGGGTGGGGTCTTAGGATCTTCCTTTTAGTTTACAAGGTCCACACCCTAGACAGAGTGAGTGGAAACAGCAGGGGGGTCAAAGGCTTTGAGATAAGCGGCCTCTGAAGCTGGGCCTCTTGGGCCTTGACGCTGTGACAAGAAAGAGGGCATCAGGGACCTGCGTGGATCCCTCTTCCTCCTTCTTGCCTCCCTCCAGTCAGCATCAGCTCAGACCGAGGAGGCCCCCATCCTTGGTAAGTAGAGTCTCCTTTGGTCTTGGGTCCCGCCCTGGCCACACACTTTCCTTCCTTCAGTCTGCACTGCCCTTGCTCCACTCAGTCCCCGCGCTTCAAGCTTCCTGCAGCTGAAGTTACACGATGAGATCCCAACAGTTGGCACTACCTGAGCCTGCCGTGGGCCTGTTTCTCTCCTGATCCTCTGAACATCCTCTTGGGCATATTCATCCATTCCAAAATGTTCAGCCGGGCTCGCCACACCTGCTGGTGACTCCCAAACCCAGACCAGCAGTCTGGTCTCTGTCCTGAGTCCCGACTGGAATCCAGATGCCTGCTCAGCACAGACAGCTCAGCCCAGTGGTCAAGCCCACCCGCCACCTCTGCTGGGTCACTTCTCCCCACCTGTACCAGGAATGGGGTGCCTACCTGAACTTTCCCTGAACCCCACATGCAATTAGTCCCCATATCCCCTCCTAACCAATTCTTAGGGCCGTGCCTCCTCCCAGGCCAGGGTTACCGCCCGCTGCAGACCCCATCCTCTCCCTCAGAATCCATGGTGTCTCCCACAGTCTCCCTGCACTTGGTCATTGCCTGCTGGGACCATCTCAAGACCAGCTGACCCCTCTATTCCCCTACTCAAAACCCCCTGTGGCTCCCCCTCGTCTTTGGATGAAACTCACATTTCTTAGCTCCCCTCTGTTATTTCCCCCATTCCAGCCTCATCTAACCCCACAGAGGCCACACTCTCCACCCCCTCCAGCCTGCCCTCCTAGAAGCCCCCTCCTCTTTCCTTCCTTCCCGACTCCTGTGCATGGTTGCAGCCTTGGCCAAGAGTCCCCTCCTCCAGGAAGCCCCCACATCCCCGCTGAGCCAGGCACCTTCCTTTGAGGTCCTTTGTACCCTGAGAGGCCTCCAGCCAGGTGCATGGAAACAGGAAGAGCCTCCATGCATGCCAGTGGAGTGGCTGAGACCCTGGCGATTGTGGGCATATGCTGCTTGCACGCTGTTTGTTCCATGAGCAAACCACTCAGCCTTTCTGAGCTTCAGTTTCCCTCTCCGTGAAATAGAGATGGTAAATGTGCTTTTAAAAAAATAATAATAATGTTGTCAGTGTAAGTGCACAGTGTCTGGCACATAACAGATGCCTGATAAACATCATGAAATGGAGTACAAGTCATTAGAGATACCTAAACCCTCCATTTTAGAAAAACTGAAAACACAGACCTGAGAAGAAGAAAGTCGTTAGAAAACTCTATATGTGGGTCTCTGTAACAATGGCTCAGGTAGCTAACCGTGTCATGTTACTTACTGTGTTTTTCAGGCCATGTGGATAATGGCTTCAAAAAAGGGAGGCATCTACAGGGAGAGACCAGAGGACCAAGTTGACGCCCAAATAGATAAAAGCAAGAAATGGTCAGCAAGGGATACAGCATCTGAACTTGTGAAATAGCAGTTACCTCACTGGATCTGGAAAGAGAATGGAAAGCATGTAAAGCACAACCAGATGGAAATGGCATGGGCTCCAAAAATGTCCCCACTGCATACGACCCCCAAAACCCCTCTCAGGAGCAAGGCCGGTCTGACCTCTGCAGAGGAAAACTGGCTTTTTGTGTGAGTTCAGGCCTCATGCTTCAGGCCTACCCCTCCTAATGGACGCATGCATCCATGAAGTCTTAGCAGCCCGAATGGGGAGCTTCAGAGAGCCCTCCTCCCAGCTCAGCCTGTGAGTGGCCCCTCCTCATTCTACCACCTAGGTCATCTCCATGGAACACGGGGTGCAAGGAGCCAGCAGACACCCCAGAAGGTCCTGACAAGTGATGACAAAGAGAGAGGAAGTTGGAAGACCCGTATTCCAGTGCCAACCCCATGGCTCACCATCGGCCGTTCTCTAGTCTCCATTTCAGTCATCAGGAAAATGGGAGGGTAAAGTAGATAGATTTGTGTATTGTGTGTTTTAATTTTATTCTTGGAAAAGAAATACATGCAGATGGTTCAAGTTTAAAATTACAAAAGATATTCGGCAGCGAGTCTCCCTCCCACCCCCACCCCTGCCTGTGTCGCCCCTCCTGGAGGCAGCTAGCCTGTGCGCGCTTCAGAGGTAGTTCGTGCATTTACTAACAAGTGCATCCTTTGCTTTGTTTACACAAATGGCAGCTCCCACACACACCTCCCACACTTCGCATCATTTGCTCAACACTGCGCCTTGGAGACTGTCCAGTGCACACACGCAAGTGCTATCTCGTTTCTTTTTCTTGAGGCTGTCGTCCACTCCATGGAGGCATTGAAATTCTGGGCAGCTTCTCAGGGTCCCTTCCAGCTCTGAGATTCCAAGTTGTCCATTCAAATGTGTCTTTCAGCTGCCTACAGTGGGCTGAGGTGGGCACCCCTGCCACAGAGGAGGCTTCACCTCTCCTCCCCTAGAGGTGCTCTGGAGGCGACCCCCTCCCATAAACCAGGCCACTCCTCACAGCAGACCTGGGACAGTCACTTTCTAGCCAGGTGGCAGACTGGCAGGCAAACCGGACCTGAACATCTTTGTTTCTAGGCTGTGAGGGACAAGGCTTCCACGACTACATGGGAGATTCCCAGCAAATTCACTCCATAAAATAACCAAACACATTTGAGGAAATGCCTGGCCATAAAGGACGGCCCTCACCTTTCCCCAGAGCTGGTCTGGTCCCTGTGTCAGGATAACCTCCCACTAGGCTGGTTTGTCTCTTAGAAAAGAAAAAGAGAATTAGGTTCTGAGGACAAAAAAGGCCGCGTCCTCATCTGGTGCTGGGGTTCCCTTGTCCAGCTACAAAAAAAGCACTGGGGTCAGCCTACAGAACTGCCGAGAGCCCCATGGAAGTCTCAGGCAGACCACACACTCGCTGGCGACCCTCCTCATCCAGCAGGGAGCCAGGAGGAGAGAGGGGGAGTGAGCACCACAGAGGGTAGAGGAGAGAGGTGGGCAAGCAGAGAGAGAGAGGGAGCAGACGAAGCCAGGGAAGTGGGTGTCTGAGGCCAAGCAGGAAGATGGGGAGCACAGAGACCTACCTGTTAAAGTCACCAGAGGCCCCAGACCTGAGAAACAATGGCATAGAAAGGGTATCCGGAGCAGAAAAAGACTGATTAGTAGGCCAGTAATTAGCAGTTACCTAATGCTGCATAGCTAAATGTCCATGACTTAGTGGTCTGAAACTGCAATAATCATTTATCATCTCTCACAGTTTCTGTGGGTCAGGAATTCACTAACGGTCAGGCTGGGTGGTTCTGACTTGGACTCTCCTACAGCCTGAATGTGGCCCCTGGAAAGCATGTGCTGGAATCGTAATCCCCAGTGCAACAGTGCTGGGAGGGGGCTACTGAGAGGTGATTAGACTGTGAGGGCTGTGCCCCCTTGAATGGATTAATTCTGTTACCATGAGAATGGGTTTGCTATTTCAGGAGTGGATTCGTTATAAAAGAACAAGTTTGATCCTCCCTCTCTCTGTCTCTCTCTCCCTCCCCTCTCCCACCTTTTGCCATTCCACCATGGGATGATGCAGCAAGAAGGCCCTTGCCAGATGCTGGGCCCCTAGTCTTGGACTTCCCAGCCTCCAGAACCATGAGCCAATAAATTTCTGTTGATTATGAATTGCCCAGTCTATGGAATTCTGTTATAGCAGCACAAAGCAGACTAAGAGGTCTGCAGTCAGATGTCAGCCTGGGCTGCCATCATTTGAAGGCACTGCTGTGACTGGGCGATCCACCGCGAAGGCAGCCCTCACTGGCTGCTGAGCTGGAGCTGGCTGCTGGCAGGAGGCCATAGCGTCTCTCTGCATGGGCCTCCCCAGGGTTGTTTGGGCGTCCTTTTGGCATGTGGCTGGCTTCCCCCAGCATGAGTCACCCAAGAGAGCAAGGTGGGAGCTGCAGTGCCTTTTCTGACCCATCAACGTTCTGCTGGACACAGAGGCCAGCCCTGATTGAATGTGGAAAGGACTGCATGAGAGTGTGGCTCAAGGAGGCCAGAACCATTGGCAGCCACCTGGAAGACTTGGCAATCACGAAGAGAGGGAGACAAGACATTGTATGGAAACTGTGAGTGGCTGTGTCAAGTTTATAATATTCCGTAAACATGGGTAGAGGAAGATAAGGATGAGTGATTAGCAAGGAGAGGAGAAAAAATAGAAAGCAAACTTTGTGCTTCCACTGGACAGTGGTACCTGAAACTTTTTCTTTTCTCACCTTCCATGTTATTTTAAATGATTTTAAATAATATCAGAAATGCATGCGTATATCTTCACAATAAGAATGTCTAACAAAGCCCTCCTTAACCAAACCACCTTGAATGCCAGCCCTCCCCAGAGATCATCACCATAACCATGCTGAGTCACATCCCAGGACTTGCCTTCACAGCTTTCCTTTTATGTTGCTGTGTGTGTGTGTGTGTGTGTGTGTGTGTGTGTGTGTGTGTGTGTGTAGGAAATGAATTTCTTTCTTTTTTTTTTTTTTGAGACGGAGTCTCGCTCTGTCGCCCAGGCTGGAGTGCAGTGGCCAGATCTCGGCTCACTGCAAGCTCCGCCTCCCGGGTTTACGCCATTCTCCTGCCTCAGCCTCCCTAGTAGCTGTGACTACAGGTGCCTGCCACCTCGCCCGGCTAGTTTTTTTGTATTTTTTGGTAGAGACGGGGTTTCACCGGGTTAGCCAGGATGGTCTCAATCTCCTGACTTCATGATCCACCCGTCTCGGCCTCCCAAAGTGCTGGGATTACAGGCTTGAGCCACCACACCCGGCCATGAATTTCATTTCATGAAATGTGTAATTCCATTTTGTATTTTTTGATGTAAATTGTATCATATTGTTGCTCTTAGAATTATTTTTCCACTTATCAATACGTCTTGGACATCATTGTGTGCAGATGTATGTAAGTGGATCTCATTCTTTTTGACCACTGCATGGTATTCCACAGTGTGGCTGCACCGTGACTGTAACCATTTCCCTAATGAAAAATATTTAGGTGTTTTGCATTTTTTCTATTACTAGCAGTAAACCTTGTATGTGCGTCTTTGTACACTTACTTCTAGACTATTATTTCTGAATATATATGTATCTTCAGTTGTCAATTCTTAATCTTATTATGTTGTAATCAGTAAGTGTGACCTATATCATGATTTCTATTTTTTGGAGTTTGTTGATTATTTCTTTACAGCTTAACACATGACCAATTTCTGTGACTCTGCTATGTATACTTGAAATAATATACACACTCTGGTGGGTAAAAAGACCCATTAGCTATTATGTGATGTTTGTCTCTGTTATTCAAGAGTTTTGTTTATTTTTATCTTCTTGATCTCTGTCAGTTTCAAAAGCTGTGCATTAAAAATCTCACACGATAGTAGATTTTTAAATTTATCTTTGCATTTCTATCAGTTTCAATACAAGTTGCTAATATTTATTCACCGTCTGCTGGGTGTCAGGTCCTGTGATAAGGACTTATAAGGACTTAGCATATATTATCTCATCTGATCCTTATAACAGCCTGTAAGGGAGGCATTATTATTATCCTTGTTTTTCAGATGAAAAACCCAAAACAAAGAGGAACCTGATATCACATACCTAAAAAGTAGCAGAGTTGAGACTTAACCTACTCTTGGCTCTGAGTATGCAGCATGGACCACACATCATAATTGCTTTTCCTGGAGCCCTGCTCTTATTTTGTGTAGCCCTGAGAAAGAAAGAAAAAAGCTGCCAATTTCTATGACACAATGCTTTCTAATACATGAGAGCTTTTACATTTATCGAAAAAGTTCTTTTAGACATTTTTTTTTGAGACAGGATCTCGCTGTGTCACTCAGGCTGGAATGCAAGTGGTATCACGGCTCACTGCAGCCTCAGCCTTCTAGGCTCAAGCAATCCTCCTACCTCAGCCTCCTGAGTAGCTGGCACTACAGATGCACATCACCATGCCTAGCTAATTTTTTAATTTTTTTTTGTAGAAAAGAGATCTCACTATGTTGTCTAAGCTGGTCTCAAACTCCTGGGCTCAAGCAATCCTCCCACCTCAGCCTCCCAAAGTGCTGGGATTACAGGTGTGAGCCAATGAGTCACCACACCTGGCCTTTTAGACTTATTGATAAATCATCTTGTCATCGATTTCTCCTGAGCATATACAAAAAGGACACATATGTGTCCTAAGACTTGCTTCCTCCCAGAACCCGATGCCTCTGTGTCACTTTTGAATTAGAGCCGGCTCTGTCCCCTGAAGAGCATTGGGGATACAGGATTTATTTGAACGTGCCTTGAATCGTATTGTCTCCGAGGTTTTCTTCCAAGGCATTCACATCCATTCGCATCGGCACTGCTGCTTTATTGATGTTACCAAGAAATGTCAACAGAAATTAGGCATCACGGACACACGCTGTTTTGCTCTTGCTCTCAGCTGTGTGTTGAGAACGCAGTCGTAGGACAGTAGGGTGATGCAGGAGAGCTGCTGGCATCGGCAGAGAGAAATGGGAAGACAGCCACATCTTCAACCAAAGGCAAGCTGCCCGCTGCACGGAGCCCCTAGGGCTGCCTGCACTTACATGAGCTGTTCAGACACCATGGACACTAAGGGTATTTGAGTGGCTGAAAGATTGAAGATGATTCTACAGGGTGGCAGCAGAACCAGGACCAGGACCAGGGGAGCACCACCAAGGCAGACCTGGACACAGCCACCTGGGGGCAGGAACCACACCTACTTCACTTTATGAGAAACAAATTCACTCGTCCAAACCCAAAGAATGGACTCAGAGACCCGGAGAACTGCAAAAGTGAGAATCTTAATGACAGTCTTGCAAGATCGGGTATCTGACAGACAGGCGCACCCAGCACAGTTTCAACAAGCAAGTTATCCCCTAGTGCACAGGCCCCTCCCCCAGTTCCTCAAATGCCAAGTACTATGGGGTCACAGTCTTCCTGGACGTCACCTATTGGTTGTTGGGTAGGGGTTTTAGGCATTTTCTTTAGAGTGGTCGTGCTGCATCTTGTTGCAGCCACAATGCATTGCAATCCTAGTTAGCTCAAGGGCTCCTCAAGTATTTGACTTATGACCTAAGTAACTGGGCAGGCTGATAAGAACAGACAAAGTGAGCTATTTTGCAGGCTAGTAAACTTTCATCTTAAACTAAACTTCTTTGGTTCTGGTGAGGGCAATTAAGGGGGCGAGGGGTGACAAACAGGCATCGGCTCTCCAAGCAGGGGCCTAGTGTATCCTGTTTCTTCTGTAGTTTGCTGACCTAAACTGATTCAAGGCACTATGTCTTGGAAATGAACCACTATATACATTATTTACTTCAAGTTCATCATCATGTTTCCAGCGCTCAGCATAGTGTGGGAAACAGAGACAAGAGACAGCAATGGAGCCCTCAATGCTCTAACGGCCCCCAGATCGCTGTGTAAACTCCTCCTGCCCATCTGCCCTGATGTGGAGAGTGCCTGGCAGAGCTGTGTCGGGACTGGAATTTAGTGAGCAGGTCCATGGCGTCCCCGCTCTTTTAGTGGAAGAAACCGCACCAGGACGACTATCTTTAGAGCTTCCCAAACCACACTGTCACTCTGCCTTCTGTTTAAAATCTCTTGAAATTCACACCGCAATGGCACAGTCCCTCAGTTCTCTCCAAAAAAACTGGGGTACTTAGCCCCCAGTGATGGCAAGTGAAGAAGACTCCACCGTGTTCATGGGCAAATTATCCAAGCATTTATCAACCCCTAGCTTGGAAATTCTTTGGCTGACGAGTTTCTGCCCCCTGGTCTGTCCACGTTAGGAGAGGACTGGGCGGGGGCTTGGCCAAGGTGAAGTAGCCCCAGGAACGCTCGCAGAGACAAATCCTTTGCCCTTTTCTGTCCTCTCTCCTGCCAACACCCCGCATGGGTATTTTGCTGAGGAATGAGCGTGCCTCCACCAGCACGGGGATGTCCAGCATCTGTCGGCACACATTTTCCGAGTGCTCCCCGTCCCTCCCTGGTTCCAGAGTGGATCATACAAAGCACAGAAAACCCTCTCTGTCTCAAGACAGTGTAGCTAGCAAGTCAAAACTAGCACCACTCATTAGATAGTGAGCAATTCAGTGCTAATTGACAGAAAATGGGTTAAAAAAAAAAGTTCACAATCATATTTTTAAAGTAGTTTTTATGAAAGTATAATATTCATACAAAATCATAAATGTACCAATCATAAATGTACAGCTCATTGAATTTTCACAAAATGTTTACACCCAGATCAAGAAGAGAAAATTATCAGAACCTACCAGCACCACCCCTCCCATGCAAGGATCCCACTGTCCTGGCTTCCAGCACCACAGCCTAGTTCTGTCTGTTTTTGAACGTAGTGTAGCTGGAATCGTAGAATGTGAATGCCCTTCCTCCTGGCTTCTTCCACCCAACATTACGCTGGTGAACTCACGGGTGCTGGGGCTTACTCATCACCGTAGATGTGTGGTATCCATTTATCCATGCTGCCCCATTGGTGGGCATTTGCCATTTCTCCCATTTGGGACTATTACAAACAGCTCTGCCCTGGAGGGCTTCGCAGCCACACATTCCCATGCCTGTTGCATGACTGTCCAACCAAGGACTTGCTGGGTGCAGGGGGCACCTGTGGTCAGCTCTTGTGGATATCCCCAGCAGGTGCCCAGAGTGGTTGCCTCATGGTTCTATTTAATGATCCTTATGACTTCAAAATTAAATAAAACTACCACCCAGGAGGGAAAACACACTACTACGGAGCACCTCATGTATCCTGGCATGAGACACAGCTCTCACCAGAGGACGGCATTGAGTAAAGGAAAGGAAAGCAGCCATGCAGTCACAGGTGCCCTTGAATTTCCCCTGGGAAGTCACTCGGGGAGGGGGGGAGCGGGGATACTGAAACTTCAGCTTTCAATAGACACAGCTGTGAAGACGATCCCATGTCCAGGAATCCTGGAGTGCCCCCAGAACATCTCTCATCATTAAGAAGGCAACGACAGGCTTCCATGCGGAGGCTGCCAATAGCGGAAGGCTGTCTGGGCTCACGCTTGCCAGGCTGGACGTTGGTCCACTCCCCACTGTTGTTTACATTGTTTATCATTCATTCTCATTCTCTCTCTCTCTCTCCCTCTCTCTCTCTCTCTCTCATTTCTCTTTCCCCGACTCTCTCTTCCCATCCCCACAACTAGTGTCATTGTATTTATAAAAGTCAAATAAGGTGACTCCATTTTATCATCCTTTTTTTCAAAGCTGATGCAGCTAAGGCTCAGAGAGGCTAAGCAGTTAGCCCAAGGTCACAGAGCATTCACACACACACAACTCCCTGGCGCCTACATCTGATCTTTCAGCTGTACCATCTCTCTACAAAGCCACCAGGATCATATAATAAAGAATGTAAAGAGACTCTCTTCCTACCAGAAAGTCCCTTATATGTGAGCAAACCCCTAGGACACCAGAAGGACTCTGTGAGATTTGCGTAGAAATCCCCTGATATTTCAGTTCTCCCAGTGAGTGGACACAATTTCTCATCAGGAGGCTTCGATGTCTCTAAATTCGTCCCCAGTGTTCTGAAAGGGGTAGATAACGCTTAGGAGTGACCAGCCAATTGTTAAAGAAGATTTCAGTCGAGGCTTTGCTTGTGAAGGTGCCCTGCTCACAACTTAGCTTCCCCTGTATGGTTCACAAATGTGAAGGACCAAGCAGAGCATTTATGAGTACCAAGGCTGTGGCTCACTCTCAGGTCAGAGTTTTAATTGTCCACTGTCTGCATCTGAGTAAAGATGCATCCGTCAGTCCTAACATGGAACCCAGAGTAGAGTCTTTCTGCCCTGAGTAGGTCTTGATCCAGAGATCCAGTAAGGGCCCCTAGAAACAAGCATGAATGCCCCGTTCCTTCCAACCTCCCCAGAAGCAGAGAGAGGGCACGTAGCTGGACTGGGTTGCCTTAGCTAAGCTGTGGCTCATGGATGGGGTGCCTGCTGGCTGCCTCAACCAGTAAGGCAGGGGCTGCTGTTCCTGAAAAGCATGGTCCTCTCCTCTGGCAAGTCCACCATCATATTCCAACAGGGTAAGCGCAGTGGCACGCAGGGAGGGGAATAACCCGGTATCACAGGCAGCCCCAAAGAAAGGGCAGTGGGACGAGTGACTGTGGTCTCCAGTTTTCTCACTGGAAGCCTATAGGCCTTCCAGGGCTGGGCGACCTGGAAGTACCAGACCTTTTAGTTTACATCACTAAAAACCAACCACATTCTTACATCTCAAAGAACTTGCACTTAAATCAAACTGCCAAAATATAATCAAGTTGCATGACTCTGATTTTAATTTAAGGCCTAAATTTCTCCAGTAGTGTAGGGAACACTCAGGTGGCCAGTGTTGGGAGCCATATCACCAAGTGGCATTTGCTTGGGAAGCCAAAGTCCCCCAAAAGGAATTGGACCTGGAGAACCTTACCAATATGTCATCAGTAACATTAACTGCCCCTTGATTAACCTTTTCCTCTTTGTAATTATTTTTCCTCCACGACTCCTGTGACATTCTTTCCAATGATTTTGAAGACAAAGGAAAGTGTGCTGCCAAGCCCTCTACAGGCTTCCTTGGGCATAGACAGGCCACATAACATTTACTGCAACTTTAAGAAATTGTTTAATAGGAAAGGAATCTTCCTAAAAGCATTTTCTGATCATCATTAAAGAATTCAATCCCCTCTTTTAGCTTAGAGATAAATAAAGTCCTGATTACTGGAACAAAGTACCTTGAGAATTTCCCATTTATTCCCCGATGATATAATCCTCATGCCAATAAATTGACCATGTGATGTGCATGCTCCTGTAATGCCACGTGTTAATGTCAGGGAATAAATTCACAATCTGATTTGATTTTTTTTGGAGGGGGGAGAACCTGAAACAACATAATACAGACACATAATCAGCAGACACAAAATAAGCTGCTCATCCGATTTCACACACACTGACAACCAAACCTCACTTCTGAAATCACCATAATTACTTTTTCAAATAATTCATTTTTAATGATCATAAAAGTCTGCATTCCTGTTGTGGAAAATATAGGAAATAAGAAAATAACAATCACCACTAAGCCTATGATCCACAAATAAGCCCTGTTAACATTTTTGGTCTATTGTATTTTAATACTTTTCAAAACATACATAATTTTACAACCCAATATCACATGGTAGATGCGACTTGTACTGATTTTTTTTTTCACTTTGCATGCAACATCGTGAAAGTATGTCAAAATGTGGAAGGATATATGCTAAGGTGTTAGTGATAACCTCTGGGTGTTATTTTCTTATTTTCTTTACGCTTTATTGCCTATATTTTCTAATTTTCTATAATGCACATTCATTATTATGAAAAGATTATTTTTAAATTCAGAAAGATTATTTTCCATGGCTGCATACCATTACATCTTATGGATGTACCCTGATCTACTTAATCTTTATCAAAATGGTGGACAGCTGCCCTTTCCAAGGTCTTGGGATGTGTTCATGTGGTTACATGTTTTTGTGAAATTTGCAAGAGTAAACTATAACCACAGTTATTTGAGACCATTCTAACTTCCCTCCTGCACATCTTTGCTGTCAGGTTGTACTGGGAGGAAGTCGAATTGAGGGCGCTTATGGGACTCACCATCATTTCTCATTGTACCTGTTACTGCAGCCACCTTAGCATGGGGATGCTTTCAGGATGCTCCCAATGTCAGCAAATCCATGAGGATTTAAGAGGATTCTAGGAAGATGGCAGCAGTGACATGGGTTTTGAATCTCCTTGAATCCTACACAAAAATAACATGCAAATTAGATAGTAAAACCAAAAACACATGGACAAATTCACAACAAAACTAGATGATACAGTCCCCACCCCCTAGGCCCTACATACAAGCAAGTGGGGGTGACCACCATGGCCACAGGCCTGCGTGATACCAGCATCTGTGTGGAGGGAGAAGAGGGAAGCAAGGGAAACCTGGAAAAAGGATGACTTGAGAAAGAATTCAGGACAAATTAAAATCATCTCAGAAATGAGGGCTAAACACAAGAGCAAATAACAGGCAGTCAATGCACTGAGAGAAATAGGAGGAATTTGTTTTAGCTGTTAAGGACATAAAGGAAAAAATAAAAAGGACTTTTAAGGAAATGACAAGTAGGCAGAAATGATTCAGCATATAGGTAATAAAGTCTCTAGACAAAAAACCCGAAGTAAAATAGCAGAACAAATACTGAACTCTGCAATGGCAAAAAAATAAAATAAAATAAAATAAATAACTTTCCCATAATTTAGAATTCAGAAAACAACAAAAAAGAGTTGAAACTACATTCTGAAAGAGCACAGTGAGCACCTGAGAATATCAACCCAAAAGGACCAGCACCAAGACATAGGCTAGGAAAACTACTGAACTCTAAAGACAGGTAAATAATTCCTTTGCGAATCTGGGTGGAACAGACATGAACGAACATAAAATCAAAGGGAGAGAAAATCTGATTACCATTCACGTGGACAGCAACACTTACTCCAAAAGGAGATGGAGGAATCAATTCTGCAACCCAAGGAGCTGCTCTCGGTCAGTGCCATGGGGCTGCGTCTGTGCAGGGGGCACAGGAAGGCCTGGACACCCATGTGTGGCAGCGTGATAAGGCCCAGAAGGGAACATCACACCCAGCCTAGACTGGCATTGAGCCACCAGTTGGACACCCGCATGGGAGCGTAAGCCAACAGGGAATCCTCTAGGAGGAGTGGGCCGAGCCACACAAGTGCAGGGAGGAGAGAGGAGGGAGGAGGGAGAGCCACATTGTGTCATGCTGGAGTGAGTAGGTTTGTCGGGACTCAAATGGGCCCTTTCTCCCAAAGCACAAGCATTCAGGACAACCATCACCAAGTTCAGCTGCAGTCCTAGCACCCTACTGCTGTCTGTTTTCACAGGAGCACCAGTCCAAGAAGTGCATCAAGGCACATGTACATAGAACTGTGACATGCAGTTTGGCTTTGGAAATCTTGAGCAATGCACCATGCCCAGGAAAACCATAGATGTCCTTGACTGTCCTGTACCAGAATGACCAAATCATCGCTGCATCTGCACAGTCCCAGAAATAAAACCACCAACCTAGTTTTCAGCCAGCTCAGTTTTTAAGTTAGTAAATGTACAGTTGTAAAGTTCAAAGTCATGAAAAACAAGGAAAGACTGAGTGACAAATGAAAGATTGAGAGAGACATGATGACTGAATACTGCAGGGCAACCTGGATTCAATTCTGAAATAGAAAAATTACATTGGTGGAAAAACTGGTGAAACCCAACTGAAGTGTGTCATTTAGTAAATGGCATTGCACAAGGGTGAATTCTTAGTTTTGATCAATGTCACATAGCTATGTAAGTTGCTAACATTTGGGGAAACTGGGTAAAGGGTATTTGGGAACTTTGTACTACGCCTGCAACTCAGCTATAAATCTAAAATTATTTCAAAATATCAAGTTTAAAAAATAGTTAACACTTTGCAATAGTAGCACAGAAGAAAACAACTAGTTATGGCCGGGCGCGGTGGCTCAAGCCTGTAATCCCAGCACTTTGGGAGGCCGAGACGGGCGGATCACGAGGTCAGGAGATCGAGACCATCCTGGCTAACACGGTGAAACCCCGTCTCTACTAAAAAATACAAAAAACTAGCCGGGCGAGGTGGCGGGCGCCTGTAGTCCCAGCTACTCGGGAGGCTGAGGCAGGAGAATGGCGGGAACCCGGGAGGCGGAGCTTGCAGTGAGCTGAGATCCGGCCACAGCACTCCAGCCTGGGCGACAGAGCGAGACTCTGTCTCAAAAAAAAAACAAAAAAAAACTAGTTATTTGGCTGAATCAGTTTCTTTTTTACCTTTTCGATGGTCCCTAGAACATCACAAGGTACTGTGGGTGGGTCCCAAGTGTTCTGCCCCTGTGTTGAGGTCAGAGCTCTCCCTGGACTTGCCACCATGATCCCCTTAGCAAGGAACTGCTGGGGATGCCCAGGAGCTCTGGTACTGGTCCCTACTGTGGCCATGAACCCCCACATGGAGAGAAGAAGTCAGTGGGTGACACCTTCCTGGACTTTCCCTATGCCTGTCCAGCCACTGTCCTCGACAGTTTTGCTCTCTGACTACAACTGGATGTGGGGATGTTGTTGATGCACTTGAAGGGCTGATGCCTTGCCCATCCTTTCTCACCCTGCAGCACAGTGCTGATGCAGCTAAGACCATGGCCCTGCCTTGCATGCCCACAAAACCACACCCACACCGTCCCGGAAGGTGTCCCTTAGTCTGGCACCAATGCAAACAGCTCAGCACTGTCATCACGTCCTGGGCCTCCGACTCTGCCCCATTTGCTAACCCAGACCCTTGCCACGTCTTCTGGCTCCAGTCCTCAGAGAGCAGAGCCTGACCCCAGCCAGATGCAGGCTGTCAATCCCGGAGGGAACCCAGGGGCAGGAGTAAGGCTGGGGAGGCAGAGCTGACAGAGGTGGGGTGGGATATTGAGTCAGCTCCTCTTTCTGCCTTTGGGAGTGTGTCTGAGAACAGTCCTGGGGAGGAAGGGGAGCATTTCCCCATTGGCCCCCGTGCATCGCTTGTCCAGGACCCTGTGCGCTGGCTTGCCACCGGCAATGCACACTCCATGACCAGGGAGCCCCACGCAGGAAGGCAGAGGCCATGCCAGGCCACATTACCCCTGGGCAAAGCTCTCAGAATCCTGCCAGCATGCAAGAAGAAACTGAGAGGATGGGCAGTGGGGAAGGCAGGGTCCAGGGCAGCTGCCCCATCCTCCCAACAGAGCAACGGCGAGTTTCTGAGGCATTCTCTGCCCAGGAACCTAGCCAAACCCACATGAGGGCAGGTGGGAGGGCCAAGGGGCTAACACCCCCGGGGCAGCCTCAGCCGCTTAGTGTTAGTGGATTAAGACCCCAGCTTCCCCCACCTGCCAGGTAAGACAATGCTGAGGTATGGTCCGCACATGGTCATGGGGGTCCCTAGCAGGTGTGAGCCCCTGCTGCCCACAGTGGAAACCTGTGTCAATGAACACTCCCCGGCTAGCTTCCCTCCCTCTCACATCCCCTCCCCACAGCTGCCTTCCAGGACCACATTCACCACTTGCACCCAATCCTACCCATAGGGATTGCTTTCAGAGAATCCATTTAAAACTGACTAAGTGGGCTTTGGAACCCTGCACTGTCTGATTCAGACCCAAAACGTTTAAACACAATGCTACTACCCTCAGTTGTTGGGAATGTTGGGTTATTCGTGGGTTCCATTTGGATACTGGCCCTGTGACGGCCACAGGACACGGGATGCCACCCATCCACTGATGCCACCTTTCTACCTCTTGCCCCAACAACGCCTCAGCAAAATGGGCACCAGAGCCTCTGGGCACGTTCCGTGCTTCTCCAGATCCAGGGACCACAGAGGAGGGAGACTGTCTTCAGCTCTCTGCTCTGCAGCTTTAGATCCTGCACGCCACACACCTTCTCTGTGGCTCCAGACCCCTCCACGGGTTTATCTCCCCCAAGGAAAAATCATCACCGGGTTCTTCCTTCTACACGCACTGGCTGCAGCCACAGCCTGGGGGGACCAGGGCTGGACGGCGCCACAGGCAGGAGAGGGCCCGGACTCCCGAGTCACCTCCCGAGTCACCGTGGGAGGCTAATCAGGCCGCGCTGACCTTCGCCTCCAGCACAGCCTCCGCTTCACTCCCTTCAGGGGCCTGGGCATCATCTCTGGGCCTGGGCACACCCTAGGACAGTCAGAGGCAGCGGCTTCCATGCGCCTCCCTCCCTCGGGCCTCACCCCCTTAGTTCTCTCACTCCAAAACCTCCCGGACCCACCACTAAAAACCCTTCCTTTAAATCACCGGGGGGAAACGATGCGGCTGTCGTGGTGGTGGGTCATTTGGTTTCGGGTCGCGTGACCTCAGTGAGTGTATCCCCATGGGGGAGCCGAGAGCGCTGATGTGCCCCCCGGATGCGGGAGAGTCCACTCCAGGATCCCTGCTCCTGGAAAACCGCGTCCTCAGTGAGGGTGCAGCCCAAGCCCCTCCAGTTGGGGGCTGGCGGGGGAGGGAAGGCACTGGAGGAAGAGGCTCTGAGGTGAGTCCGCAAAGCCAGGCTGCCAGGCTAACCACGCCCAGCTTCCGCCAGACACCGACTAGGCTGCAGAGACGCTTCCAGAACATCATGTGGGTGCACCGGCCGGCCCTGGGTGTCTGGGTCGAGGCCCCTCCAAGCCCACCTGGGAGGGCACTCCCGTCTCCCACTACCCGGGGCGCCCACCACCCCGGCCTCCGCCGTCGCTCCGCGACAGCACCCCCAGGGCCTGGCGTCCTGGGCCTCCGACTCTGCCCCGTTTGCTAACCCGGACCCTCGCCGCATCTTCCGGCTCCAGTATCCCCGGGAACCTCCTCCTTTTCATCGCTTCGACAAGACCTTCTGAGGCCACATCTCCAGGCAACATCTCTCTGTCCCCGCTTTGTTTGGCTCTCAAAATTGTGCTGTGCTCCCCCATCTCCAACAGCGTTACGTTGATTTTCGAGCTCTTCCATGCTCTCCCTGGCTCTTTGCTGGCGTCACTCGGTTTTCCGCGCATCCCCGTGCGCACGTGTTAGCTGTGCCAGCCCGGTGCGAGCTGCTGTTAGGATCGGTAGATTACAGCGAAGCTGCAGTCAGCAGCTCCTCTGCCTGGCCCTGCATACCGTGAGACTCCAGGCAGTGCCCGGGACGGCCTGGGGAACAGAGGAGGGAAAAGTCAAACCCTGCAGAGGAAGGACGAGAGC